CACTTCCAGAGACAGTTGTGAGCACTGTGTAACTGCCTCGAGGGTGCTTGACCATTTTATCACGACGTGGTGCGATCTTCCCCCTTGCGCGGAGTGAGGGTTCTCCACCCCGCAAAACATGATCTACTCGACCACCACTATGGTTACCGCCAAAAAGAAAACATAGGTAAAAAAAAATAGAAATAGGTAACCTGTTTGCCGAGTTTACGAAGTGAATTGGCATGTTTTACAACGTCGTTGCCAAGCGACGACAACCCAATCCCGATGGCACCGGGTGGGGGCGGCTTTCTTTACAACGTCAGTGCCAAGCGACGAAACCCAACCCCGATGGCAAACACCGGGGGGGGCTTTAGTGTGGGGGGGGTCAAGCAAAAAGCTTTGCGTTTGTTCGGGCAGATGTGTGGTGTTTACATGGATAGTTGCAGTAGCTCCGAAATACTGCGTATTGCTGAGTTACTGAGGCCTGCTCCGCATTACGGCGGTGAACGGCAGAGTTTCGCTGCGCAGCACGGACTCGCCGAGTCGTCATACGGAGTCTCCACATAAAATGCCCCCCCCCCCCCACCAAGACAACGCCGGCTCTCTCTCTCACCTGGGTGGACAGGAGGATGTCGCCGGTGGTATCCTGAGTGTTGATCTGCTTCATGTCCGTAATGGTCTTTCTCGCGTTCACGAACTGCTCGACAGGAGAGACGGTGTCGACGGCCTCCCTGATGGTCGCCTCGAGGGCCTGGCGCGCGTTCATCATCGCGGTGGGTTCTCGCCCCGCCCGTTCCCCCGCGGCCGGCGTCGCGCCGACGCCTTGGTCCCCCCAACCGTGCGACGCCACCGCCGCCGCCTCGTGGTGATCTCCGCGCGTTTGTGCCAACGACGATCTCGCCGCCGGACCCTGACCACCGCCTCCGTCGTTTTTTCGGGAAGAGGGGCTGCCTTTGCGGGTTCGGGTTCGACCGCCGCCCGCGGTCTGTTGGTGTCTACCGTAGTGGTGGGAGGATGTCTGTGACGGCGACGACGGCCGGTCCCTTCGTCGAGAGCACCCGTTCCCAGGCGCAGCGCTCGAGGGCCTTCTTCTCACCCTCGTTGCTGCTGCCTGTGCCACCGCCGCGTGCTTCCCGGCGCGAGGCACTGCACCCAGCGTATGCTTGGCGCAAGAAGTGCCATGGTCAATCGCTTGCGCGGTGCCTCTCCCCGCCCTTCGCTGGCCGTCTTCCAAGAACAAGGAGCCGCTGCAGGCGATACCGGCGGACAACGGGCGGCGATAAAGGGAAGAAGCGCTGCTGCTGTTGCATTCTGATAACTCGGGTCGAACGTTGCGCCGGCGGACGTCGCCTCCGTTGCTCGGTGAGAACGACGAAGCCGAAGAACGCCGCAGCATCCGACCGAGCGTTGTCTTTCGCAGCGAAGGCGCTCGCCGAGAGTCGTCGTCGTCATCGTCTTCAGCCGCCGTCGCCGCCACCGCCGCCGCCGCCACTTCGGGTGCCGTCCCAGCCCCAAACAGAAACTCCGTTTCTCGACGGTTGAGCAACGGGTTGCCGTTGTTGGTGTTACCGGCGTGGCCACGGCTGTTATGCGGGCAGTGTCGACGGTTCTTCGCGACGGCAGTCTTTGGTCGCTCTCTCACGGCCGACGGCGGAGGTGCCCCCGAGCGCGACGCGGCTCGAGTTCCGGAGGGTTGTCCTCTTGAACCAACAGGGAGATCGCGGTCGCGGGGAGACCACCTCGCGGCGCGGGGCTTGCGGGAGTTGAGGTACCTCGTCCGCTTCACCGACATGCTCGCCTGGCGCGCGACGTCAACGGCGGGGTGGAGAGGGGAGAGGGGCGCTTGCCTTAGCCCCTTGACAATAGACGGTGTAGACCAAACATCCCTTCGAAGGCGAATCATATCGATAGTTATCCTACTAGCGACAACACCAGCAGTGGTTGGGCGCGCTTTCAACTTCTGTTGTGTTGCTCATGGGAGAACTCTTGCATACCTGCAGCGCCTCGGCATTTTGCTTTACAACATCTATCCTCTCCTCCGCCAGCGCGATTCGCGATGCCGAGGTGCTAGGCCGGAGCCTCCCGGCTGCTTCCCCCCGCCCAGCCCCCCGCCCGCAATCCACTCCGCCTCCCTGTGCCTCCGGCGCCCGTTGCCCCTCAACCTCTCTCGTGGCTTCCATCAGCCTCTGGCTCATCGTGCGAGCCAGACGCGAGCTGCTGGATGCCCTGGACGATAGCCTCGAGAATCCCCCTGCCGACAAGCACGCCGATGGGGCCGAACGCGGCCTTGCCTGAGGGTCGATGCCGTCTATCTTCATCCTGCTTATGTCCACCCGCCTCACCACCTTCGGGTTGTGGTGCTCCCCCCCATGGGGAGACGATGCTCGCTTTTTTCCTGCCGCCGCCGCCGCTGAACCCCCCCCCGCTGGGTGTTGCTCTTCACTCGCGAGTCGCGGGCCGTTTGTGCCGTCGTTAGTCTCGTCCCCCGCAGCCTCTTCTTGCCCTCCTTGATCCGCCCCTCGGTCTCCTTCGTCGGTCTCCCTTTTCTTGCCGTCGTTGTCGTCATCGTCCTCGTCTTCCTTCGCCCTGCCCTTGCCCTCCCCCCCGACCTCGGTGTCCGAGCCGTCGCTGCAGCAGTTGGGATCGTCGACTAGTCCGGCCTGAAGCTGAGCCAGCAGTCGCACCACGTCAGGGTCGGCCGCTAGCTCGCAGTAGCCTTCACCGCCGCCATCGTGGTGTCGGCTCCCCCTACCCCCCTCGTCCCTTACCGCTACAGCTGGCGGTGCTGATGACTCCACCTCCGGGACTCCGTGGTGCTCTTCGGGTCGGGAGTTGCCTTCATCGCCGTCGTCCTGAACATAAGCGTGGTTCTGTTTTCGCGGAGGTAGTCCATGGGTCTCCCGATACAGGTTCTCGAATATCTGCGGAACGGTAGCGGAAGGCCGCGCCCCGTGTGGATCAACCAACAATGGCAGGTCTGATTAGGGCGCGTGAAGACACTCTGGCCGGAGATCGATCGCTTGAGCGCCTGTCGAAACTCAAAATTTTTACAGTATAGCGAGACTAATGTAATCTTGACAGCACTTTGGCGGCCTGCTTCGCACGAAAGATGCAAGGAAATATATGAGGAGGGGAATGATAGTAATGCCTGTAGGCTCCCATCTACACATATTTCTCGTCGTCGGTGCCAACGTTGCAATGTACTGCCACGGAAAACAGCATCCTTCATTCGCATGGCTCGCTTCTTTCCCATTACCACGCGAGTCTCGTACTTGCGCCGGGAATGGATGCTCATGCGTTGCGTTCGGCTGCGGTACACCGTGCTACATAGCGCTGTCCAACGCGGCATCTTCCATGAACTACGGTAACACATGCTGCAGTTCATCCCACACTCTTTCATCGAGACCCCACCTCGCCGATGGGATATTGACTGACACAGCCCCCCGGGGCGACTCCCGCGACTTTGGTTCTGTCCTTGGCCTCTAGAGAGGCCAGCTCCTTGAAGAAAAGCTCGCCGCTGTTGTCGGAGCGGAGAGTCCGGTCGAGGATGCTCTCGCTCGTGCCTTCTTTGATCGGCGAAATGGAGGTGAGGGTCCTCTCGAGGTCGTCTCGGAGCTCCTCCATCTTTTTCTCGAATCAAACACAAAAAGGCATACCAGAACATGAGAGGGATGGCAAGAAAAAACATTGAGAGTCTAAGAAGTACGAGAACCGGATATGTCTTGTCGCATAGGTTTACAAGGGTCTCGAGAAAAAAAAATGCAGACACATGCCCCGCCCCTGCGGGAGGGCAATTTAGTATAGGGGGCTTCGTTCACGAAAGAAAATAAGTCATTGACCACCCTACTGCAGAGGGTTTTCTATTCGCGGTGACCCTTACTCAAATATATTGAAATTAGAGTGTACCCCCCCCCCCCCCCCCCCCC